TATTCTGCCCCTAATTTTCCAATTCTATTGCACTACAGATTTTACATTCAGGGCCGGCTCCAGGCACCAGCATTCCAAGCAGGTGCTTGGGGCGGCAATCTGCAAGGGGCGGCAGTCCGTGTGTTTTTGCCGCCCCAAACAGCGCACCGAATTGCCGCCGCGGATGGCGGGGGCAATCCGTGTGCCGTTAGGGCGGCACGCACGCGGGGGCGGCAGCTTCTATGTTCAGCTGCCCGCGGCGGCAATTTGGCAGCTTCTGTCTTCCGGCTGAAGACAGAAGCTGCCGCTGCGGAAACGCGCATGCCGCTCTACCGGCACACGGACTGCCCCCGCCCTCCAAGGCGGCAATTCGGCGCGCTGCTTGGGGTGGCAAAAACAGTAGAGCCAGCCCTGTTTACATTGATGATACAATATTTCATTGTAGTAGTTGTTCAGGGGGAAGCTGACATTCTTGACACATCGGAAAAGGACAGTGGAGGCTTTTTGTTTTCAGGAAGATGTAGAAGGTGTTTTCGGAATTTGGTATCCAAGAGGCAGGTATTACTTTGGTACTAGGGGCTTCCTCATTCCAGCAATTCTTGATAGCTACCAGCTACCTTACTACTGTCCCCTCAGCATCTACTACTACCTTCAATAGTGATGCATAAGCACATTAGTGCTATATTTCTGTTAAAGTTATCAGCAGTGAAATAGTTAATAATATTTTTAATGTTGTAATTAGCCTTCAGCATTAACTTCTAGTTGCAGTACATGAGGCATTTCACACACTCCTCTTACAGTTGTCTGTTTTCAGACTCAGAAAAACAACATGGCATCAGTTTACATTCAGTTCAGATTTGGAATTTTTTTCTTTGTAACCACAGGGCTGAAAGCATTGGGTGAAATTCTGGTTCTTTGAAGTCAATTTCAGAATTTCAGTGGGCCCAAGATTTAATCCTTAATGTTGTTTATAAACGAAAGCTTAGATTTTACAACAAATCTGTGATAAATTCCACAGCAACAGGAAAACACTTGTTTTATAAACTAAAAATTTCAATCTGCAGATATTTTATTACTTTTCAAAAATGCAATTTACTGTAAACATGCTGGTATTTCAAGTACTCTTTTGGGCCATGTAGTAGCACCTCCTCCCTGTGGTCTATTATGCCACACTGCAGCTGTGGCTGTACCTCTGTTTCCTTCTTATTTCCAACAATAGTCAACAACACTCCTACTTTCTCTCAGGGAGGCCCTGTAAAGTGTCAGTCTCTAATGCAAACAACATAAAATAATTTTCCACTCCTCCTGGGCTACCCTTCTGCCCCATTCACTCATAGAGTGCTCACCCTCCAAACTTTCTCCCTGCAGACTTGGCTCCTGCTAGAGCTGCTGATCCTCAGGGCTTCTTCCCTGGTGTCCTTCCCCTAGTCTTATTCCCAGTCTATCTCCAAGCCATTTTTTGGGGGGGGGGGCTTGGCCTTTTCCTGGAGTATCACATGAGCCACCTCCTCTCATGCTGCCCTTTCCCTTCCGGACCAATCACATGAGACAGCCTCCCTTCTGTAGCTTCCCTCCCCAACTGAGTTCTCCCAGCCCTTTATGGAAATCACCCAACTCTTCCCCTATTGAGTCTGATAACTGAATTGAGCCACCTGGGTCCCAGCGAATCAGGATTAGCTGGTGCGGTGACGGATCTGTCATAGGCGAGGATAAGCCAACTACTCTTTAACGGCCGGCTAGCCAGCCAGCCTGTCACAGGCTGTATCTCTTTTTATCAAACAGGGTCATATGACCCTGTTTTTTCAGAAATTCTGGGAAATTCTTGATTCCTTGGGAACAGCTAATTTTTTATTTTTAGTTTTATTGAATTTTCACATTGCCTTTACATATTTATTTAAATTATTTGTATTACCTCCGAGGTGTCTGGCAGCTAAATGTCAAGGAAATATACCCTACATTTTATACCATATACAGAATAATTTAAAATGTTTTAAATACATTAATCCATAAGGTCTGGATTCAGGAAAGCACATAATGTACTTGTTTCACTTTAAGCATGTGCTTAGGCACTGTCCTAAGTAAGAATGCTGTTCTGCATTTGGACCCAAATATGTTGCTTTTATTAGTTACCCTTTGATGAAATGCCTGACATAAAATCTTATTATTATTATTTTATTTATTATTATTGCTTGTGGTGCCACTCAGAATGTGCTAAGAACTATACAAACACAAAATAAGACAAGCCCTGCCTCAAAGCGCTTACATTCTAAAAACACAATAAAGACAAAACAGAGAGAGAGAGATGGAGTACAGGGGAAATGGGAACAACAAACAATGTGGTGAAGTAGTGAATGACCACATCCTGATAAAGCAAATATGTTTATATATAAAATCATCATCTCCTTTTTTGAACGTCAAGGGTGAGGAGGGCCAACTTCTGTCAGTATCTCGGCTTAGGTAAGTATCTGCCAGCCACCATAAGTCTAGTATGTGTGTGTATATTTATTACAGTATTATCCTTTAAGATGATCACTAGTTTTAAATGCAAGGATTGTGGACATAGGCCCACTGCATCAAGTTCAACTCTCTTGGGTGAAATCTTGCCCCGTTTAGGTGAAAGTGAATATTGCTATTGATTCCAATAGAGTCAGGATGCTCTTTTTAATGCCTTTATGGTCCTGCAGATTTTTTTCCCGTCTCTACTTTGCCTCATTTATCTTATAATATTGCCTCCCATTCTCTTGTCTTTGTCATTGATGCCAGTTTACACACACACAATGATATGTGTATTATTTTTTAAATTAATAACTTTACATTTAAATATTACATTTTCTAAATTACTCGACAAGCCTGATGTTATAGGGCCTGATTAAGCAAGGTGCTTAAGTATGTGCTTAACTTTAAGCCCATGAGTAGTTCCACTGATTTAAATGAAACTACTCATGCATTTTAATTTATGCGTGTGCTAATCTACCTTGCTGAATGGGGGCCATAGTTTCTTGTAGACATGATAGAAGAATTGGAATTTCAGGAGAGGTTTCATTAAGGAGATTGTAGTGGCTTTGCAGACCAGCTCGGGGCATTATGTGCATAGAATGAGGCACAGAAGTAGTAGGTCCAGAGATATTTGTTGAAGAAGCAGTCAAACAGTATTTTGAGGCTTGCAGTGTTGGAGAATTGAGAATTGCACGAATAGAGGATGCCTAAGATTAGTGACAGGATGTTAAGACAATACTGTGAAACTGTTTTAAGTCATATGACTTTGTCTCGGCCATGTGGCTTGTTTGGCAGTCTAAGAGTATCATAAAAATATATGTTTTCTTTTAAATAAATAAATGGAGATATCCTATCTCCTAGAACTGGAAGGGACCTTGGAAGGTCAGCAAGTCCAGCCCCCTGCCTTCACTAGCAGGACCAAGTACTGTTTTTGCCCTAGATCCCTAAGTGGTCACCTCAAGGATTGAACTCACAACCCTGGGTTTAACAGGCCAATGCTCAAACCACTGAGCTATCCCTCAGTAATATCCTCTGTAAAACAAACAAACAAACAACAATTCTATGGCTTTCTGTTTTTGCCCACACGATGTGCTGAGTACACTTAAAAATACATTTATTTTAGCAAAAGTAAATATCTAATCTACCGTATGCTCATCTAATTATTATCCTCTACATCTAATGTTAAATTAAGTCTGTGTGTTGTGTCCCCTACATTTACTTTAAAGTGACCAACTACATGGGAACTGTCTTCTGATAGTTTCTTTACTAAAGGCTCAGTTCAGCCAAAAATTATCACCAAAGAGGTTCTGCATGGTTTTGCAGTTGAGTTGAACAGCTGTTGAGTCTAATTGTGAGTCAATTTCCAGAATGTCATACTAGCCTCCTGGTCTGCATAATATATATGAAGTATCCAGTGATATGCACTCATTGTCTTTGTTGACTATGCATGCAGCCCTTCCTTAGTATTCATCTGCCTGTGAGGTTACTACAGATGTATAAATATGTTACATATATATGCCCAATATGTAGTCTTGAAATGACCACAGACTGACTAGAGCTAAAACTAAGTGTTTCCTTTTATTTGCATGTGTTCACAAGTGTGCTTTATATTTGTATTTATTTATTTGTCAATTTTCTTCCTAAACCTAGAAAGAGCAGAAATGTCTTTTATATTTTATATCCCTAAATAGTCAAATACCATGTTATTTTACTATATATATAAGAAAGGTCTCTGTCATTTACACAATTCAGTAAAATCCAAAATATCTGTCAAATGCACACGTCTAAATAAAGCCTGCAGCCAAAATGTGCTTGCCTTGTTTGTCACATATATTGGCATAAGGTCCCTGAAAATAGAATGCATTAAACCTTTTAGAATGGTTTTGCATTCCAAAAATAGCAAGAAAAATCTTGTAGCGCCTATTGCCATGAATCCATTTATATATATCTTTTCATTTGATTTCCCCCCTCATTTTTTAAACAGCCACACTGAGCAGTTTTTTGTTTTTGTTTAAAGTTGGTTGCTTAAGCAGTGGCAATGAAAAGGTTATTGTAAAATTGCTTATGAGAGTGTTGATTATATTTTATGAATAACCTGAAGTATAATATGTTAGGTATATATAAGCTCCTCAACAGGAAACTATATACAGAAACAACATGGATCTTGCAATTTTATCAGGACAATGCAAGTAGATTTCAGCAAGGTTGGTTCCAACTCATCTGTGATAAATGAGAAGATAAGGCAATCAGTGCACACCATGACACTCTGTACAGCTAGTTAGGCACACTTCAGAACTATTCAGGTGTGCTCACAAAGCTTGTGAGTCTTACATGGGGGGTGTCTCAATATAAATACATCCTTCATGGTGGCCACTAGTAATGCAGGAGTTGCTTTTCCAAGACTTAACCCAGGTCAGATATAAATAATAGATGTTAAGAGTTAGTTCTGATGTTGGGGCTGCATTTCAGGCTGTGTATTTTCAGTTGGGTCAAAAGAATGTATTTTCCCTTTTTTTCTTGTATAGTTCCTCTGCTTGACAAATGCCTGCAAAATTCCATCACACCTTTGCGTGGACCTGTTTGGGTCTCTAAGGGAGAAGGTTTCAGCCCCTCAGGAGCAAAGATGTATATCCATGGAGTTCTTTTGGCCTTACACCAACGATTAAAGTCTGCAAAAAACTATTGCAAACAGGTGAGTTTCTCCCACTCTTTAAAAGTGTGCTTCTTTTTTTTTTCATCATTTTAAAATGTACTAGTTGTGTAAAGGCAATGATTGGCACTGTGTCATAAAGAAGTGTGACAAGTATTGCATGAGCTCCAGTACCCGTTAGGGAAATGCTTCTCCTATAATCTCAAAGCCAACAATAATGGAGCTAATTGTATCTGTCTTTCGGTGTGGGATGTCATATGTCTCATCTTTTCTTGCTGCACACTGTGCATAGCTGAGACATTCCTTATGTGGAAATCCTATAAAGGCAGTCGTTTTGCATAGGAAAATTAATAGCTTGTTCTGCACATTGAATATTAAAAATGGTCTCATATTTCTTCACACAGGGCTAATCAAAATAAAGGCCATAGTTGAAATATTTTTGAGTAAAAAATAGCTAAACATAACTGGAGTTACATTCTCAAAAATAAAATGAACTTGCTATCTTTAGGATAGTCAATAGGCTTTTATTGACAATTCATGCACAATTAAATAAATATATCAGAAATACATTTTTATTTGCATAAATTACAGAGATTAGATTATAGAATGTATTAATTGATTTGTTATTTGAGTTTCAGACTATGAGACCTAGTTAGTGCATGTTTGCTTTATCTGCATATTTATATAATTGTGTAGTGATATGCAGATATATTTATGACTTTTTAGTCTGAAGGTATTGTATTTTAATTAATTTGAATAAAAATGGAATTTCTAGGCTTGTTAAGAATAACTAGGTCTGACATCTTTTGATTTATAAATATGAAAGTAATCAAATTTTTTAAGTTAGTTGAATGATTTATGAAAATAGCAGGTATGCAGATTTGCCAGGAAAAGTAATAGTTTTACATTAAACAGCCATCTAGGAAACCCAGATTCAAAAGTGATACGAGGCCCCAGAGTTAAGAATGAATGCATCAGCCAGATTATGCTATCAGTCTGTGTGGGAAGGGGGAGGGGAGGTGGAAATGGGGTGTCAGTCTCACTGTTTATACAGCACCTCCTGCTGTCAGATCCATAAAGAGAAATGAGCATTGACTTTGGAAGAGACTGTTCCTATCTTGAGCTAATGGTGGTCAACAACAAGAAATCAAGAAAATAGAAACAGGCAGAAAGGCTAAAATCAGCTTGTTTCAAAAGATGCATGATTCATTTTAGCAGCGTAGTAAAAAAAAATACAGTGATCATGTTTAAATTTTCTATTGAATACTGGCTCTCATGAATGGTACAGAAATGCAAAATATTATAGTACAGTATGTGTCCTAACTGATAAGAAAATAATTACTGAATCTTTTTAGAAAATATACATAAAAATCTATCAAGTATGACTCATTAAAATATTTAACAGATACATTAACTTGTAAAATAAATTAACCCCTCACAAATGGGCAACATTTTTGGGGGGAACTGAATTACAAAGTGGTCTATAATAAAAACGATGTGAAAGGCTTTTGTCAGTTGCTTTTTGTGCTCCTATAAAGAAAATATAATGAATTTCCAGTAATTTAACTTAGATTAACCATTTCTTTGGTGTTGCCCAAAAGTATGAGTTTGGAAAGAGTTTAATAGCAGAAAAAGAACACTTTTATTAAAGTTTGAAACCACCTTTGAAGACAAATTCACCTGGATTCAGAAAGAACAACGTGTGTTCATATTATCAGATGCCTGGGAGATATTTTTTTTGTTTTTAAGATTCATGTAATATAAGGTTACAGTTAGGAGTATAAATATGCCAGTTGTTAGTTCACAAAAATTCTGTAATAGCAGAAGATTATTTTTATAGGCATTTTAAAATAGTGTTTTAAGCATTAAAAGTAAAACAAGAAAGTTAAGTATTTTGAAAATATTACAATAATGTTAAGAAACATTGAGTTAATGTAACACTTCAAAAGTAAATCGTTTGTGGTATCTGGTATTATAACAGCATAGACAAAAATAAAAAAGAGAGCAGAAATGCATTTTTATGTTTTTCCTTTTAATTTTACCAATCATTTTCAAGGTGGAATGTTATTAGCATTGAACATAATTGAAATCATATGCAGAGTACTGTGAGTATTAGAGAATACAGCATATTATTTTGAAATATCAGTTTGTTTGTGGCTGCGTTTATATATGTTGTCCATAATTTATAAATAAGTTAAACATTAAAAAATATGTAGATTATAATATAAATAAGCAAGGTTAAAATACATAGTAATATAAACCTAGGAAATTGAGTCACGTATCCCCTGAATTTTACCTGCTGTACTCCACCCTACCTCATTGTCGAGGAATGACATTTGAAAACTATCAACTCTTCTAAAAACAGGATGCAGGGGGCACAGCCCTCACTCATTCATCCTGTTGTGTCTAGGCAGACTAGCAGTATAACTCTATGATGTGAAACATGTTCAGTTTTCAAATCACTGTATATCTAGACATTGCTTGACAATCTTAACTGAATTTTCTACTTATCTGTTATTTTGAGATTTGTATTATATTTGTGTTTTACACTATCTTTTATTTAAATAAATAAAGAACAAATGAAGAAAAAATATGGAGAAACCCCTTTGATCTGGTAATACTCTGCTGGGACAACATGCTTTGTTGAAATAATGAGATTAAATAGCTCCTGGAAGTATTACTAGCTCAAAAGCAATATAATTCTGAGCTACTTTCACTAAAATTTAAGTAGTTTTTAATTTTAATTTCAAAGTGTATTGTTATACACCTACTGAATTAAAAATAGTACACATTGGTTGACCGAAAAGGCTGCACAGTGGACTGCCTATTATCAGCTTGTTGCCTCCTGCCCTATAGTATGGCATTAGATGTCTCAGTCCATAGGTCAAAAGGAGGAACTCTTATCATTCTGCTGTACCCACTGTTTCACCTTTAGAGGAGAGTTGATAGACTTTGAATGCCATTCCTTAAGAATGAGGTAGGGTAGAGTAAAGCAGTTAAAACAGAGGGGATATTCGACTCCATTTCCTAGCTTTATTAGTTATGTATCTTAACCTTGCTTATTTACTATAATGTAATCAGGTAAAACTAAGAGGATACTTGTGGCTGGAGAAGGGTTCAAACGTCTCTTTGAACTCAAGAGAAAAGAAAATAACACATCGGTACATCACAATAGCTTGTCATTTATGTTTTTCCTTTGTGTAGAGTCCCGAGTATTGTAATTGTATTAAGTTGTAATGTCCTGTGGACGCCAGTAAAATCTTGAAATTTTATCAACCTCAGAGGACATGACTGCAAAATATACAATTTTCTGGATAAAAAATAAATACAAAAACTATCCAGCACTACAGACAGAATTATTTTGTAATTAATTTTCACATGATGGAGTTGTAACTATAATATGTGACTTTAAAAATGCTCTCCCAGGTTGTCAAAAATCCTGAGATACTTAAATAGACCTAGCATTTAACATTTGTGTATTATATATGTAATATATATTTGTGTGTCTTTATGTGTGTGTCTGTATATGTTTTCAAATATCATGCATGGCTACTGTAGCTTGTATTTAAAACATATATGTTCTTAAAACAGAGACATCTCCAAAATGAAATTGCTCAGAGCTATGCAAGAGCTTAAATTCATTAGTAACAGTAGGAATAATATAAACATGTTAGTATGAAATGTAGATAACACTTTCAACCATGGGGGCTGTACCATCTCATTAGCATTCTTGATATGTAGTTGTACTGTTGGTGGGGGTGTTGAAGCAGGAATGCCATTGTGCTGGGTTCCAGTGTTTGGGGACAAACACTGCTGTGGAGGGAACGTGTGAAAAGGCCATAGTACTGTCAGTGAATGAGGAAGGCTGTGCTTTCTGTATGCTTCAAGCAGGGAAGCTGTCATTCACAGGCCTAGCACAGCTAAACAGAGGCCAAAACAGAAGACTGAAATACCTTTTAAAATGATATTAATGATTTTTAAACATTTTCTTCATTGACAATCACACAATAAATCATCTATTGCTCTGTCAGTAAACAAACACAAAATATATTATGACAGAGAAACTGAAAAATAAGCTGAAGTGATGCCAAAATATGAGATTCCTGACACTCCATTTGAAAATCACTAGTTGACCTAAAAAGCCCCAAAAGTATTGATGAGCATGTTTTATAACTTTACTCTGTGAGATTCTAGAAAAATACTGCTATAATACTTTATTCAGAAACTCACCTACAGTGCTGTAGATTTCTATCCTATGCTTAAAAAAATGTTAACAAAACTGTGCTGAAGTGGTTTTTTTATGTAGGTGTGGGGAAGCGGGGGGGAGGGGGTATTTATGCTGTGTATTCCTAAACTCATTCTCTCAGAAATTACAGTGATAGAAATTAGTTATGTAAACCAATGCAAATTATGTTGTATTTAAAGTAATGACTTCTTGTATGCAAAATACTGAAGAAAAAACAAGAGAGACTAAAAGAATAGAACGATCTTACCACCCACCGTTTTAAATATGATAATATTGACAAATGCTGCTGTGGTTAAGAGTCTGTGAACCTTTCTACAATACATCACTGCTGGTATATAAATTATTAGTCCATTAGTAATTTTTTATATTTTATCTAATCAGTTTTACAATTTTTGATTCTGAGCTGCGCTAACAGCCCCCATAATTCTTGTGGTTTCAACCACTTTGTTGTATAGAGCTTTAAAATAGTACTAAATTTAAACAAAAATATTGCAACTATAAGAAGAGAACTAACACTACATTTTAATTTTTTTAAAAAAACATTTAATTTGAAACTACTTACTTAGATATTGGAGCCTGAAATTGCCTATTGTGCATGCATTCTAGGTACCTTTTATAACCCTCCTTGATTATATTCAGTAATAGACATACATAGTATGACTACTAGACAAGTTTTCACTGACTTCAGTGTGCCTTTGTATCCTAAGATTTCTGTTGCAGTAGCTTTAATTATTTCATAATGGGTCCACAGGACCAGGACTTTTCCATTATAAATGTCACATAAACCAGCTGTTAT